GATTTGGTGAATGATAAGCCTAATGAAGCTTTCATATGAGCATTGATAAGCATTTTTATCAGGCCTCAAGCTTAGCAGAATTGCAGCCTGTGTTTGGATTATGATCAACTTGTTTGAAAACTTAGCAAAAAGTTTTTGCTGTTCGGCATTTAAAGCATGCTTCTCATTTTGATCAACTGACCTTTCCCGAAACTGTGCAGTATTAGGTCATAAATCTTCAAATCTATTCCCATTCCAGAATCTTATCAATGCATAAGAATTTTAGAGTGACTAGGTGCTGAAATACCCAGCACGATACTTGTATGTTTTTAATATCATGCAGAATTAAAATCCCAGGAACTGCCCTCTGTGGTTTATCCCTTCAGTCATTTCAGACATTGATAGGAGGGCCTATATGGCTACTTGTGTGCTCTTTTATGTCTGTATCTGCCATATTTAAAACAGTATATGTCAGATTTGTGTAATCACAGATTTTGTTGGCCTTTGATCAAATTTTATGTTGATTTTTTAATTTGTTGTTGTTGTCCAGTTGCTAAGTCCTGTCCGACTCAGCAACCCCATGCCCGGAGCATACCAAGCTCCCCTGTCCTTTTGGTAAATCCAGGAGTTAGCAAATTCATGTGCTTTGAGTCAATAATGCTATCTAACCATCTCATCTTCTGTCTGCCCTCTTCTCCTTTTGCCTTCAATTTCCCAGCATCAGGGTTTTAATGTCTTTCTATAAATTTCATATTGTGTTGTTATGAAAAGCTCCATTTTGAAAATCACAAATCTCTGGTTGTAAAGTTCAGGTAAAGTCCACATTGTATAGAACTACATATCTTTAATGTCTCCAGACAGAAATGTCTTGAAATTAATTTAATATTTGCACTTCAGGGTGCACCTTAAAAAGAGAAGTCCTGAAAAAAGACTAGGAGTGAGCTATTAAGTATTTTTGGCAGAACACTGTGTTTGTCTCATGTCGGACATACGGAATATGCCCATTAGTTTAGTCGGTATTTTTTTAAAATTTAAAAAGTAGGCATGATCTGTTGTTTTAGCTAAAATAATTCTAAATCAAAATTTCCGAAAATCCTTTAATTTTTTCCAGTATTTATTGGAAATTGTTTGCCTACAATTGTTGTCAGAGAGTGTAAATTTTTTTGCTTCTTTCTGTCTTTCTTACAAAAGGAGAAATTTGTCTCTGCTGACAAATTGAGCAGACAGTCTAACATTTTATATTCCTGTTGGGGTGTATAACTTAATATTTGTACACTTGATAATTTGTCTTATGTGATTGGTAAAATGGTGCTATATATGTTCAATCATATATATACTGTCTGGGTTGTGTGATTATAGTTCTTTGGAGAAATAATTTGTCTCAATACAAATTGTGAAACTTACTGCTTGCCTCTAAACATTGAAATAAATATATTGAAATGCAAAAAGTAAAGGAAAGAGTAACTAGTAAACACATGGAAATGTAATGTATAACTTCTAAAATAGAAGATGGAAAATGTTGAATTTTAAAACTCAATCCAAAGAAGGTAGGGGAAGAGGGAAAAGATAAAAGCAGGACAAAATAGGATGCAAGATTAAAATAGTAGCAGTAATTCCAAATATATCAGTTAAGTAATCATGAAATATAAATGGACTAAATTTTCTTCTTAGAAGACAGGGATTATTTCATTGGATAAACCCAGCTATGAAATGTTTATGAGAGACACCTTAAAATTACAGGTGTGAAATAATAAAAGAGGGTAACAAAAGGTATACCAGGCAAATACTAAACAAACAAAAAAGCTGAGGTCATTACATTAATAAGAAAAAAAGAATGTTAGCTCAGAAAACTTTATTAAAGATAGAGAAGGTCATCATAAAAGGATTAAAAACTGAATATACCGGGAAGAGATAACAGTGCTAGAGAGCTAAGCTTTTAATTACCCAACTTTACGATATATAAAATGAAATTTGGCTCCCATCACAATGGGTGACTGAAAACAACCACAGTCATTTTAACATCCTGATAAAGTGAACTTAATGCTTGGGATAAAACTTCCAAATAAGATATCCCAGAAGTATCCTATCTCAGACTATTTAAGTGGACTCACAAAGGGGTTCTGGTGATAATGAAGACTGTGACATGGAAAGTGCATGTGGGGAGTTAGAGTAGAAATGGTCATTTGTTGTTTCTGGCCACGCTGGGTCTTCACTGCTGCGCCGGCTTTTCTCTCGTTGCAGCGAGCGGGGGCAGCTCTAGTTGCGGGGCCTGGGCTTTTTCTTGCGGTGGAGTCTTATTTGCAGAGCACAAACTCCAGGGCACATGGCTTTCAGCAGCTGTGGCTCGTGGGCCCAGCAGTTGCAACTTCTGGGCTCTAGAGCGCCATCTCGGTAGTTGTGGCAAGCTGGCTTAGCTGCTCCGTGGCATGTGAGATCTTCCTGGACCAGGGATCCAACCCACGTCTCCTGCGTTGGCAGGATTCTTTACCTCCGTGCCACCACGGAAGCCCCAAAAGTGGTTCCTGAAATACAATAGAGCAAACTTTGCAAATTAAAATTTTATACAATAATTGAAATATTTGTGCATAAACTGAAGAGAACAAATAAGCATTTTATTATCTTATTGACTTTATTAACAAGCTTGGTCTATTTTGGGAAGGGGAATGTCTTGATTAATTCCCTATATTCAGGTTTATATACAGTAAATCTAAATATTTATCATAAATATTAATTTATCATATTTATCATAAATATTATTTATACATTCACATTAAATGTAGATATTTATCATTCTTAAAAATAGTGAAACCATGCTACAAGGATGATTCATGACCTGTTGCAGCTGGAAGAATGGCAGACGTAATGTGGTTCATCTCTCTTGCAACAGAGTCAGGCCTAACACTCATATCTACTCTCAGTCTGGCTCTGTTGTGTTTTATCAAAGCTGTATAAAATTGATACCAATATGTTATTCACCATGAGTACACATAAACTGTATATTCAATATAAGTGAAGTTTTTAACCATGAAGTCTACCTATCTCAAAGTTTGCATATGATGTTTAGCAACATATTAATTTTTTACTAGCGAAATAGTCTTAGTAAGAGGAAAAAATGACTTGGATGGTCCTGGACCCTATTAAAAGAAAGAGAAAAAGCACAGAGAATTTTAAGAATGCCTCCTTTTCCTTTAGACAGGTTTCTCTTTGCCAGGTAGAAATTTAAAACCGATACACTGATCAGTTTTTTAAAAACATCCCTTGCAACAGCGAAACACTGAACCCCCATCAGTGAGACCTGCGCTTACAAAGACTTAGAGATCAGGTCTCTCAGACTGGATCTTTGTACACTGTAATATTTTTCTTTGCCTTCCTCCTTTTCTCTTCCTCTTCCCAAACTCATGACCTCTTTTCCTCTTCCTCACCCCTAATCCATCCTCCCCACCCACACACCATTGATAATTTTAAATCAGCACTAAAGAGATGCTTGAGGAGGGGAAGGGAGAGAAGTTTTGGTCATTGAGGAAAAATGTTTATTGGTTAATTGCATTTTCTGTAGTGTCAGGGCTTTAGAAAGAATACCCACTAGCAGATGCAGCTTTTCTTCACATTCTTTTGGCCGTCTCAGAGCCACTGTATTTAACTGCATCTTACTGCACAAACTCTGGAATCTGTGGGTAAAAGCCTTTAGAAATGATCTGAGAGTTTTGGTACATACAAACCACTTTAGAGTCAACTGGTTCTAGGTGGATTCAAATTCTTTCAACCTGCTAATTGGGCAACGTATTACCTTCTCTGACTTCCACTCAGCTCCCCGTCCGTGATGTTAAGATGGAAACAAGAGTTATCTTGCCAAATAGTAAATATGAGAGTTTGTGAAAAGTGCCTAAGAAAGTGCTTGACACATGTTGAACTACTCGTAAGTGGTAGTCATTGTTAGGAAGAGTTTAACTGTCATCTTTAGGTTAACTCTCTGGGTTTGACTGCTTTGAGAAGTGAAAAAGAGATTCCATGAAAAACAAGGCTGGGCTGGGCAGTGTGGTCTGCTACTCATTTGAAAGTTGTACCACATGGAAGATTTTACTCTTCTGTTTTTTTGGTAATCTTGAGACACATATTTTCTATCTACTGTTGTTTTAAAGGTCATCTTGAATTGATTCAGTCCCATATGGTTTAAGCTCATCCCCTTTGTTAACCTGCACACTAATATTACGATTGTTAATGTTTGAAAGGGCACTTATTCCAATAGTTTTTCATTCAATGTAAGAAAATGTAAATTCTTTGAGGAAAAGTAACTTTAGTAACTAGAGAATTTAACAGAAGATTTATTTTAATTCTCCTGGTTATTATATTAATTTCCTTGTAAATATCTCCAGATGTGTATGCAGTACATACATTCTCTGAACAAATTCTGGCTACTATTTGATAAATTGTGTTCTGAAATTTTCTACCTAGGGACCTAATTCTATCTTGGAAACATCAGCCCTCGGCTCATAGTAGAAATCTGTTAGATCAATGAGGATACTAAGAGTAAAACCTGGTTTAGAGTAACAGATACTTTAAGAACCACTATGAAGTCTGCTTCTTTTACTTTCAACGGCCAATTTAACTTGTTTTCTTGTCTGGGAATAAATAAGTCCAGAAAAATTAGGTGAGCCTCATGTCTCAATCCTAAAGGAAATCAACCCTGAATATTCATTGGAAGGACTGATGCTGAAGCTGAAACTCCAATACTTTGGCGACCTGATGCCAAGAGTTGACTCACTGGACAAGACCCTGATCCTGGGAAAGACTGAGGGCAGGAGGAGAAGCAGGAGACAGAGGATGAGATGGTTGCATGGCATCACTGACTCAATGGACGTAAGATGAGCAAGCTCCAGGAGATAGTGAAGAACAGGGAAGCCTGGCATGCTGCAGTCCATAGGGTCTAAAGAGCCAGACACGACTTAGCAACTAAACAACAGCATGTCTTACTTGGACTTTCTATTTGTTCTGATTTCTCCCTTTTTCGCTTGTGTTTTCAGGCTCAGCTATGTGAATCATGCAGAAGATCTGGCCTCCAAGCTCCTCCAGTGTTCCCCAAAGAACAGACTATCAGCTCAGGCCGCCTTGAGCCACGAGTATTTCAGTGACCTACCCCCGCGGCTATGGGAACTGACTGATAGTGAGTATGACAAGTTTGAAACATCTGATTGAAGCCGGGACATGATTTTAGCATCTATGTGTAACATACATGCAGAGGGGTTCACATGTTTGTGCTTCTGTAATATTATGTGTGTTTATGTTAATATATGCATGATATGTATATGTGTGTATGTGTGTGTATATATAAAAGAGGAAGAGATGGAATGGGGGAAGGGAGGTAGTGTGCATATGTATTTAGTAGAATCCTGCCATTCAGTTGTGAGCTTACCAGACATGGGAAGAAAATGGATTCCTTACTTTGCTATCTCTGCTCTGCAGTCCGCAGCTGCATGTCTTTGTATTTGATTATGTGTGTGTCCAAAAAATGCTCTGAGCAGTCATAAAGGAGAAGGAAAATATGATTTACATATTTAGTACTTTATGCGTACAGTACTTTTTAACTGGCTGCAGAACACAGAGTAGACATGATTCATTTCTGTTTGATTCTCAGAGACTATCTTGGTTGGAACAATAACCTTAAAAAGGGCTGCTATGTGGTGAGCTGACGAACAGAGTTGGCAATTGGCTAATGCACTGAATTGACATGTAAGAACTGAAGACATGTAATTCATTTTAACTACAAATGCTCTTGGTATTCATACAGAGTTCTTCTCTGGGTCTTTTAAAACAAAACACATTCCTGGGTGGGTTTTTGTTTTGTTTTTACAAGTGTTCATATTTACACAGCCTTTTCCAATTACATTTTAAATATTTGGGGGAGGATTTATGACTGGGAGGATCTCATCTTTCTTCCAAAGTGTGAAACAAAATTCTTGTGAAATTTTGCAAAATGCTGTTGCAGTAAGAACACTTTTGTTCAGTGGTGATACACTCTTTCCAAATACCAGTGAGAAGTATTTCTTCTCATGCTCTTTTCTTATTGCCTTAAAAATTCATATACTGCATATACGGATGGATATTTATAATATCATTATTAATCCTTGAATATGCATCACTTAGCATGGACATGGGCCTCCCAGGTTGCACTGGTGGTAAAGAACCTGCCTGCCAGTGCAGAGGATGGAAGAGATGCAAGATCAGCTTCGATGATCTCTGAGTCGGGAAGATGCCCTGGAGGAGGGCATGGCATCCCACTCCAGTATTCTTGCCTGGAGAATCCCAGGGACGGAGGAGCCTGGTGAGCTGTGCTCTGTAGAGTCACAGACTCAGGCATGCCTGAAGCAACTTAGCACGCACACATGCACCATACATAAAAGTTTTATCTTGATTCTCTTAGACTTTAGACTTCCCCCATGATAGCACTGGAATCTCCTTGACGACAGTTACCTTTTATTTGGCAATTAAATCCCAAGGAACAACTCTAGGGTATTCCTAACCTAAATCTTTTCTGATATTTTTCACTGAATTCTAATTGCTTTTTTTTTTTAACTCTAAAATGACTATAGATGTATTAACCCACTACTACCCTGTACTAGAAATCTTCTTCAGTAGTTCATATATTCCAAGTCCATATTACCCCATATTCCCTACTTACTTTCCAAAAGTTTCCATTGATCATTACTACTGCTGTCCCCATTAAAAAAAAATTAAAGATGAATTTCCCTGTAGAAAAATAATCAATTGGTAACACGTCTTCCCATACTGAAAAAGAAAAAAAATGATGCCAATGGACTCATTCATTAGTTTATGGCTCATCAAATTCAAACACATGATTTGTTTTCCCCATTAGTATAACTTGTAACTTGATAGCACTCCTACTTGGTGACATCTCAATCCCATCTGACTTGATGATTGAGTTTAAGCCAGGATTTTGATGGTCTATGAATTCTGAATTCTGTAGTAGTACTTTTTTGTTAATATGGACTTATTACCCACTTGCCACTTAGTTTATCAGCCGGTGGTTAAATCCAGTTTCTATCAGTAAGTAAATGCCTCCACATTATCACTCGGCAGCAGGCTGCCAGCGGAGACAGCCTTGTCCCCGTCGTTAACACGCACAATGTATGCAGAACACCAGAGGGGAATTAAAACCACAAAAAATACCTCAGGGTGGTATTTTTAATATGAGAGTTTAATTTGTAATTTCACAGATTAAGAATTTTGGCTGCATTAATCCCTTTATCAGCTCACAGCAGGCTATTTGCAGAAGCATAACCATAAGGCGATATTCATTGGCAGAAACACGCCTTTGCATAACGTTAAACATCAGGGGCAGTGAAACCTTTTGAAGGGGGGAGAATAAAGATGAAAAATCATTATATTTTTCAAGCAAGATTCTGCTAAATGCCTCCGGTAACAATTTTGAGTTACAGAAATGCTATTTCTGTGTCTAGTAGATAATCATTATGAAGCATAAATCCAGTCGCAAGAAAGGACAATCCCAGTCTTAAATACCACAGTCATTTCCATCTCGAACAACGTGGTCGTCCTTGTAAACATGTTTACAAAACAAAGAATTTCTAGGCTCTGGAGACTTTGGGAACTAGTTTCTTTTTGGGTGAAATGACTGGTTTTGGTGACTGTTATCTAGGTTAATATCCTGCAGACTGTATTTAGAAGTTCTTGAAATTCTTAAAATTAAATTTTGTGTTAATGTGGAGTCTTATAAAAGTTTACCACCTGCAGCAGCAGCAGTGCCAGGATCCTCATGTGCTTCCTTTTCAAGGAGGTTTGGAAAGGGGGCCATCTGAAAAGAAGTGTTGCAGAACCAATAAATGGATTCTCTTAGCAACCAAGTCATGGTTTAGACTGATTAGTTTTAGGAACCTCACTTTAATACATAATCTGCTCAGGCTGCAATAAGAACATAACATAGACTAGGGCTTAAACAATAAACATTTATTTCTCACATTTCTGAAGGCTAGAAGTTCAAGATCAAGGTGTTTGCAAAATCAAGGTCCCCGATGAGACAGCCACCTCCCTTATCATCACATGGCAGAGAGAGAAAAACCATGACATCTCTCTCTCTTCCTTTGCAAATAAAGCCACTAATCTCATGCTAAGGGCCACACTCTCATGACTGCATCTAACCCTAATTTCTACCCAAAGACCCCATCTCTAAAAACTTATCACATTGGGACTCCAGGATTTGAATTTTGGAGGGACACAATTAAGTCCACAGCAGTCACATTCTTAAAGATAGGTCATAGCATTTTTTTTTTTTTAAGAAAAGAATGTCCACAAAGAGAAAACACTTATGCAAGCAGAAAGCAAACCCAGGTGAAGAGAAGAAGATTCTAACAAAAGTAAGTTCAAAGTGGGCTCCAGCCTTCTTGGCCTGCTTTTAATGTAGCAGACCTTTCGAGATGAGAATCAAATGTTATTAGAACCTTGGTTGCACAGAGCCCTGCAGTCATTCCATGAATTCTTATAAAAATGAAGTTATATGCTGATGCCAGACTGTTATTTGCTTTGGAAGAACGTATAACAATATAATATCTTTATTGTGCTAGTCCTTAAAACCTCACCAGTTTACATAATACCAAAATTTAGAAGTAATATATTAGTGTGCCTCTGAAGAAGGAATTATAAATTCATCAAGCAGGAATTATGGTACAGTTACCTGGGGATCTGACGGTTAAAGCTGGCTAATTCTAGTGGCACCCTGTCATTCTCCCTCTATCCCAAAACCCCAACAGCCTTGCCCCACTTCTTCACAAAGATTTAATTGCAGGGAAGTAAATCGAGGGCTGATTTAGAAGAAATTCATTACTTTTCCCAAATACACCACAGGGCATTCTCCTGTGTATACTATCAAGTTACATAAATTATTGAAGCTGAACTACCCTTGTCAAAGTAAATGAACAAAATACACTTCATAGCGCAGAGTCCTTGATTTTATTACATTCATTTGCTAATTCACAAAACTCAGATCTCCAGTAAAAGAAGGCCAACAAATTGGTGCAGTGTGAGGAGCACTGCACTGGGAATCAGACCACCTGGATTCTAGCTTTATAGCTTCAGCTCCACTGTTAACTAGCAGGCAGCTTTGGACAAATGCCTTAGTCTCTGTGGGTTTCCAGCTTCTCCTTTAGAGACACAGTGATCCCTGAGGACCTTTGCAGCTCTTCTCTTGGTAGGGTTTCTGACTTATTCCTACATATGTCCTATATATTATCCTAAAACAACATCATGCCATGAATGGATCTCCATGCCATCTTTTTAAAAATAAAACTCACCCTGTTCAAATGTATTCGCTGCTCCAGTTCCTAGACTTCCGTTTTCTCTCACATCCTTTTGTGCCAAGCTTCTGCACCCGACTCCACAGCTGCTGGTTTCAGGCTCTATCCGTGGATCTTTTCCCGGCCCTCATCTTGACCCATCAGCGTAATGCACAACTGACCACCATCTCCTCCGGGTAATATTTCCTTTGCTTGGTTTCCAGGACAGGACGTTTTCCTTTCACTCCTCTAAACATTTCTTTTCATACTCCTTTGCAGATTTCTCATCTGCCAGACCTCTCACTCTTAAAGTGCCCTGGGGCTTAATCCTCAGATCTTCCTATCTGCATACACTCCCAAGAGCCCAGATGATCTCATTAATCTCATGATTTAGATGTCATCTGTGTATAATGACAGCTTCCAAATTTCAACCTCCAGGCCCATCTTCCTTGATTCCAGACTTGTATATCCAGCTGCTACTTAACATCTCCATTTGGATGTCTTGTAGGCATCTCCAGCTTCATGTTATCAAAACTGAGCTCCGTATCTTTTCCCCTGACTTGCTCATTTTAGAGTCTTTAGCTTGTTCATAAATGGCAGTGTCATTCTTCTAGCTGTTGGAAGTTACCCTTGATTCTTCTTTTGTTACACCCAAACCCAGTTCTTCCATACACCCTGTTAGCATACCTTCAAAGCAGATCAGTAGAGGGTCCTAACTTCTCCCCTGCCACCACCCACCCCATGTTACTTACCGTCGTCTTTCAGCTGTATTTTTATAGTAACCTACTAATTGTTTTGCCTGCTTCTCCTTAGAAAGGCTTTGATGTTTGCTCTTTCTTCAATTCATCCTCCGTCTTCCTCTAGATCTTTCTATGACTTGCCCTCTCACCTTTTTGGGTCTCTGCTCAAAGGTACCTTACCTGGGAAGCTTTCACTGATCTGCTTCCACCCCAGCACTTCCTGTTTCTTGTCCCTGCTTTATTTTTCTTCATAACACTTAGAACTAGTTGATTTATTTGTCTGAGTATTTATCGTCAGTTCACTTCAGTTCAGTCACTCAGTCATGTCTGAATCTTTATGACCCCATGGACTGCAGCATGCCAGGCCTCCCTGTCCATTGCCAACTCCCAGAGTTTACTCAAACTCATGTCCATTGATTCAGTGATGCCATCCAACCATCTCAGCCTCTGTCTTCCCCTTCTCCTCCCACCTTCAATCTTTCCCAGCATCAGAGTCTTTTCAAATGAGTCAGTTCTTTGTATCAGGTGGCCAAAGTATTGGAGTTTCAGCATCAACATCAGTCCTTCCAATGAATATTCAGGACTGATTTCCTTTAGGATGGACTGGTTGGATCTCCTTGCAGTCCAAGGGGCTCTCAAGAGTCTTCTCCAACACCACAGTTCAAAAGCATCAATTCTTCGGTGCTCAGCTTTCTTTATAGTCCAGCTCTCACATCCATACATGACTACTGGAAAAACCATAGCCTTGACTAGATGAACCTTTGTTGGCAAAGTAATGTCTCTGATTTTTAATATGCTGTCTAGGTTTGTCATAACTTTTCTTCCCAGGAGCAAGTGTCTTTTAATTTCATAGCTGCAGTCACCATCTGCAGTGATTTTGGAGCTCAAGAAAATAAAGCCTGCCACTGTTTCCACTGTTTACCCATCTATTTGCCATGAAAGGATGGGACTGGATGCCATGATCTTAGTTTTCTGAATGTTGAGTTTTAAGCCAACTTTTTCAGTCTCCTCTTTCACCTTCATCAAGAGGCTCTTTAATTCTTCACTTTCTGCCATAAGGGTGGTGTCATCTGCATGAGGTTATTGATATTTCTCCCTGCAATCAATCTTGATTCCAGCTTGTGCTTCATCCAGCCTAGCATTTCTCATGATGCATATAAGTTAAATAAGCAGGGTGACAATATACAGCTTTGACATACTCCTTTCCCGATTTGGAACCAGTCTGTTTTTCCATGTCCAGTTCTAACTGTTGCTTCCTGACCTGCATACAGATTTCTCAAGATGCAGGTTAGGTGGTCTGGTTTTCCCATCTTTTTAAGAATTTTCCAGAGTTTGTTGTTGGTCCACACAATCAAATGCTTTGGCATAGTCAATAAGGCAGAAATAGATGTTTTTCTGGAACTCTCTTGATTTTTTGATGATCCATTGGATGTTGGCAATTTGATCTCTGGTTCCTCTGCTTTTCTAAATCCAACTTGAACATGTGAAAGTTCATGGTTCACGTACTGTTGAAGCCTGGATTGGAGAACTTTGAGCATCACTTTACTAGCGTATGAGATGAGTGCAATTGTGCAGTAGTTTGAGCATTCTTGGCATTGCCTTTCTTCGGGATTGGAATGAAAACTGACCTTTTCCAGTCCTGTGGCTACTCCTGAGTTTTCCAAATTTGCTGGCCTATTGAGTGCAGCACTTTCACAGCATCATCCTTTAGGATGTGAAATAGCTCAACTGGATTTTTATCACCTCCACTAGCTTTGTTCATAGTGATGCTTCCTAAGGCCCATTTATCATCTGTTTCCCCTAAATGAAATCTGCAAACACCAGGGTTTCTTTTCCTTCTGAGTTATACACTACAGGATTCTGAAAGCCTGAAACAGTATGGGGCTCAATAGATACTTCTCCAAACAATGAATGGAAGAATAGAACAAAGAAAGGGCAAAATATTTCATTTCCAAATTCAAGCTAATTGCTCTAGATCAGAGCAATATGAGAGATCAGCTGAGCTGTGGTTTGGAGGGGAAGTCAGATAGTCCTGTCATATGTGTGTGTAAATCTGTTTGTTTGTGTGTGGCTGTGACAACTTGCCAATTTCAAAGACCAATGTATACCATTTTGTTTCATGTACTGGACGTCCAGCATTGCATTTCAACCTCACCTTTTGAAAAAGAAGATTATAAATCTATAAATGAAAACTTTTTATTCTGTCCACAGTGTCTTCTATTTTTACCGTCCCAAATGTAAGATTGCAACCGGAAGCTGGAGAAAGCATGAGGACCTTTGGGAAAAACAATAGTTATGGCAAAAGTCTATCCAATAGCAAGCACTGATGCGCACAGTGTTCTCAAGAGAGCACAGGTAGGATGATCGACTGTACTTGGAAAATAATTGTCAAAAGATACCGAGTTGATCTTTCAAGTGAAATATATCAGATTTATTTTTTTCCATCTAGTGAATCTTTTATGTTCGTTACGGCCTTCATTACAAATTGAAGTCATTTCCATATTTTTAGACAGCTTCTGGATCATGACCAAAATGGTACTTTATTTATGTAGTCATAAGCAAGACATTTTAGTCATAAGCAAATTATTTCCCTACTCACACATTCTTCACTGAGGTTAGAAATGGTTAATCTTGGAGGATATCTAAGTCACAGACCTGCTGTGTGTGGCCCATTTTAAAATTGGGTAATTTTACACAATGTCTAGATTTCTGGCTTTTCTTGAAAAATCAGCAACTCTAGCAATATTGCACTCACATTCCTGCCAGAAATTTGTGTGTTTAGCTGAACTGTCTACCTCCTTTGAAAAGGACATGGGCTCCCTAGGTTTGCTTAGCGGCCGTTTGGGTCACTTCACCCCTTTCTGATTCCTGCGTGGTCCCTGGTACAATTCTTATCATGGCGAACCTTTTTTTTTCCTTCTTTCCAATTCTTTGACCTCTGCTCTTCTGCAGATGGAAAGTAGAACCTAAACAAGACAATCTCTAAACATGTCAGACTGTCCCAGTGGTTATCACATAGGAATTACAGAAACAGGCATAAGCTGGCAACCTCTGAAAAGGCTGTGTCTTTATTGCCAGTTGGGAATGTCTGGGTTATTTGGAGGTTTATGCTGATATATACCTTTTTGTTTAATGCAACATAACTCTGAAGTAAATAGAGAATCAGCTTTTTTGTGGGGAAGGCTTTTTATTTGCTGGCCCATATGTTACTTGCTCGTGTCACTATTCGATCATTAAATGTTCCAGTGAATCCAAAAATACAGACAATATTGCAGGAGCTCCTCTTTCTTCTTCTCACTCTTACTCTGAAATATATTAACAGGCTGAACTATCAGAAGATTAAATGTCCACATTGTCTACTGGGTGATTAGACAGTACCACTGGTCTCAGCTTTTGAGGGCTCTCAATGTGGGGGTCAGTTTTGGCCTCTCAGGAGTTCAGTGGTGATTTATGAATGATTGGAGAGTAGATTCTCAGATTGATAAAAGATGGTGTATAAATGCCAGTCAGGAAGTGTTACTAGTAGACTTGCCATTTCATTCATAAGAGTAAGATTCTTCTTTCTTCTGGTTATTTCTCTCTATTGGATAAAAAGCTACCAAGAAGCATAGCTTTATTTGCACATCAGAATCTACAGTCTCTCTTCAACTGGTCAGACAAAGCATGGGGCTGCATTTTTGACCAGTTATCCCCTGGTTCTGAGAATGGTTTTAATTCATGAGGGTTATAGCAGATGCTTTTTAAAGTTTTTCACCTGCATTACCATAATGAGAGCCCCTGGCTTTATAAACCCCTTAACCAATTCAGTAGAGCAAAACAAAAAGTGAACTTCATTTGTGCTGCTGCCTCATTCACACACACACACACACACTCACACAAGCCTGAATTTCCATTGCAAGGCTGTGTCCTTTCTTCTATGCTCTTTGGAGATCTCTCTGAGCTGAGCCTGGCCAGTTAAAACTGCTAGAACGTGCTTTAGGTCAGCCTTTCCATATAAATTAAATCAGGCTAACTGGACAGAAGCATTGCCCATAAGGTCTCAAAAATTGCTTAAGTGAAAAGGGATTTTGAAGAGCTGTTCAAAACTAGCCATTGGTATTCAAAAACCTTTACAAAGATGATTTTTCTTTGTAGTATGTTTTTTAAACTAGATTCAAGAATATATCTAGAACCTCTTCTAGAATTATCTAATAATACTACAAATATGTTCTCTATGAATTTTGTCTTTTTCACATCAACTTATAAAGCTTTAATGTTATTATCATTATTGTCATTGTTTCCTTTGAAATCCAAATGCCTCAGTTTGATTCAACATTATATTGAGGAAACATTTAATTTTTTTTTCTCAGAAAAGCTGCACAGAAGTTGAATTTTAAGAGTTTTCTGTCAGCAAAAAAAAAAAAAAAGAAATCCCTTTAACTTTTTGCCTTTGTAGGGTTTTACATTAATCAAATGTGTACATCTTAGAGATTAAATAACATAGCCTATGTATTGGTCTAAGACATCCTGCATAGTGAAGCTGATTCTGATCAATAGCTGAATATCAGTATCTATATTGCAGATATTATAGAGTCAAAAGTCTACATAAATAAGGGTATTTGTAAGGAAAATATATATTTCCCTAGATTTTGATGTTGATGAATTAATTAATTAGTTAATTAACTGTTTAGAGCAAGCTGTGACATCTTAAGTTTTCCTGAAACGCCCCAATTCTTTATAAATCTTAGAGAGATTGGGAAAAAGAGGAAGAGGGAAGAGGCTGAGGGCTCACAGGGGCTCAGACTGTAATCTAGCATTTTAAACGCCTTTCTTTGGGGAGTTAGGCAGAGGTAAATATGGAAAATGCATTGTGTCACTTCTGATTTTGAAATGATGGACAGTAAGGTTTCAAGTCTTAGTTCTTCTCCTATACCACGTTGTCCAACTATTTCTAAACTTGCATACTAAGGTCACTTCAGTCATTTAGTTAATAATTCTGGATTTGCATAAGCTGGCCTAATTGGAAATGCTAATGAGGAGTATTTTTCTTTGTAGTAGAAAGCAACTTTGGTTTCAGAGTCTTGTAACCAAATGAAATGAAAAGAAAACCACATTCCCCTAAGTTTAAAAATGGGATAGAAGGCAATGGATGATCAAAATCCTGTGCTTCCTACAGTTTGTTATCCTCTAAATATGTGAATAGACCACAGATTGCCTAGGTTGTCCCCATCTTTTTATCAGCATAGAAGGATAAGCTTTTCTTAAAGTCTGAGAGCACCTTAAATGTGCATAGACATGTTCCCCAAGGGAAAAAACCAGAAACTATATTGAATATCACATCCATTAGTATCACTTATATTTGTGCACAGCGATACCAAATACACCCCATGCTGAGCTTAATTTTCCAGTCGTTCTAAATTGAGACAGGAAGTGCACAGTCACTGTCGGCTCTCCTTTTGCTGAATACAAGGGATAAGAATGGTCTGTGATCTTTTAGACAGACATTTTATAATTTTTCTGAAATAGTATATGCTCATTATTCAACATCTCTTTTCAATGAATCCACTAGTCTTCAAACCCTATTAAATTCATAATAAATATACAAACATCTGTCTAATGCATGAAAAAGCTGTATTTGGTTCAGGTGCAAGAACTACACACATATTTTGGTGACGCTCTCCTTGCTTCTAGTATATAACTTTGCTAATCAATGTTATGTGAGTATGATATGAAAATGGAAGAAAAAATGTAGTAGACTTCTTCCGTTTGACTCAGTCATCAAGCAGTAATTTCCTAAAAGTAGGCTGCCAGGTAAACAGTAGGATGCAGAAATTGCTCAAGAATGTTGATGAAATAAGACAAGGATTTTTTTTTTGAACCAAACTCCAGACAAAATGTAATGCATTGGTGGTTAAGGCTCTTTGGCATTGCTATCTGAACATCCAGTTTATTTATTTGTTTGTTTGTTTGCTTTTGGCAGCACTGGGTCTTCCTTGCTGCTCGTGGCCTTCCTCTAGTCTCAGCGATCGGGGGCTGCCCTTGCTTCTGGTGCACGGCTGTCATTGCGGTGGCCTCTCTTGTTGCAGAACACAGGCTCCGTGTGCTCAGGCGAACAGTCGCAGCTCTCAGGCTCTGGAGCACTGGCTCTGTAGTTGTGGCACACAGGCTTAGTTGCCCCGTGGCGTGTGGAATCTTCCCAGATCAGGGATCGCACCAGTGGCCCCTGCATTAGCAGGTGGATCCTTATCCGCTTGTACTACCAGGGATGTCCTCCCTAGTGAGTTTTTAAAAATCTAGGTTCCTGGGGTATGTGAATCTGCATTTTAGAACCCCAGAGAATGTTGATACAGGCAGCCTTTTGAACCACATATTGTGGCCTCTTCAGTAAATATTTAAGAATTATACATTTATGAAGTAAAGTAATTAACTTATTTGGATCAGGACTGGATAAAGACAAAGTGGGGAAACCTATCCCTTCCTTTCCCTTCTTTTTTTTTTAAAGGAAGATTAGTAAGTTGTGCTTTATTAATATTTATTAATAAAAGTTCTACTGTTCAACAAGGTAACCACTAGCCACCTATCTATCTAAAGTAGCTATCTAAAGTTTATTTTTAATGAATTAAAATTAAATTACAACTCTGTACCCCCAGTAGCAGTACCACATTTCAAGTGCCCATTACCCACCCATGACCAGGGGCCACCATATTGGACAGGGCAGGGAGGGGACCTTCTCAGCCTCACAGACGGTTCTACTGCCCAGCACTGGTGAAGGACATTCCTCTTGCCTGCTTTTGTGAAGAGGAATCAGGGAAATTAAACTGAATTCACTCAGTAAAATTATATTTCAGTTCTAGAACATAATGACTTCTGGGAAGCTCAGAATGTTTGAGAAAGAGAAATACTCCAGTGAGGGAGAAGTTGGGTGACAGACAGACCGAGATGAATGATCGAGTGACACGTTCTGTGCCCACAGGGACAGGACACCCCGAGAAGAAGCATGGGTGGGGAAGGAAACGTGCTGAGGTTTCCTCGGTTGACTGTGGTCTCGGTTGAGATTGTGTGGGGAAGTAAGGAAGACCAGGTGGGCAGTCTAAGAAGCTTCACGGGCAGACCTCACGAGAGACTGAATGTCTGTCAGGATCTGACAGGAGCCGTGGTTTGTCTGCCATCAAACTCAACCACCCTCTCACCTCTGGTACCTGCTCCTGGAGAGGCAGCCCCCTCGCTCTGGGCCAGCCGTGACCTCTTGTGTCTGCGTTGACTGACGGTGCATTAGTCTCTGCACCTCATGGCTTCTGCTGCCCCATCTTCTGCTTCATACACGTCGCTTCTCCTCGTCTCTCTGTTC